GGAGATGTTAATAAACAAACAAACAACAAACTCACGGCCTTCTCGAGGATGTAGTGGGTGACGGGGCTGCCGCCGTCGTCCTCCGGCACCATCCAGTGCAGGTCGCAGCCCTGACGGGTGATCTCACTCGCGATGAAGTCACGGCACGGACCGGGAGGGGCTACAGGGGGGGAGAAAAATGTTGTTAGTCATCTGTTGCTTTTTCTTGACTAAAACTTGTCCATTAGAAATTGTGTTTGTCAAATGTCAAGAACGATATTTGCAAAATGTCTACTGACTTGTGGTAAGTGAGTAAGAAATGTTGTTAGTCATCTGGGTTTTTTCATGACTATACAGAAACTATAACTTGTCATTTGAAAATTAAAAATTATGTTTGTCAAATGTCATCAAGATTCAAGAGTGAAAAGACTTTTTTTTTTAAAATGTCTGGTTGTGTATCATGATTAAAACCCACATTGGTGAGATATTGTTCAATTTGCCTTGAAATATGTTCCCAACACAATACTATCAACCAGCATGAAGTCAAAAGTTATCTACTGATTTGTAGAAATTAACTACTTTCTCCATTTCATCCTTCCCACTAGTTCTACACATATCATACACAAACTGAGGCTTGTGATTCCATTGTAAATTTAGTAACATAGAAGCTCCCCCTTACAGAATACGGTGACATTGCAGACTCCGCCGGCCTCCCCGTGCTCATTCTTGGCGGTGATGCGGTACTTCCAGTGTACCAACATTTCAGCACCAAGGACATTGCCAACTACATAGCATATATTACTATTGGTGTATGTAAGCATAACAGTACAGAAGCTCCCCCTTACAGAATACAGTGACATTGCAGACTCCGCCGGCCTCCCCGTGCTCGTTCTTGGCGGTGATGCGGTACTTCCCGGTGTCGGAGCGCTGGCTCGGCTTAATCGCCAGCTCCACAAATGTGTACGGCTCTGTCGCACTGATCAGCGACAGACGCTCAGAAGACTGCAGGCAAACAAGAGGAAAATGTTATAAGTACTAG